ATAGAAGGTTAGGGTTGGAAGGGACCTCAGGAGGTCATCTAGTCCAACCCCTTGCTCAAAGCAGGACCATCCCTAACTAGATCATCCCAGCCAAAGCTTTGTCTAGCCAGGTTTTGAAAACCTCCAAGGATGGAGCTTCTATCACCCCTCTGGGTGGCCTGTTCTGGTGTTTTACTACCCTCCTAATGAGAAAATTCATCCTAATATCTAACCTAAACTTCCTACACTGCGACTTGAAACTGTTGCTCCTTGTTTGGTCATCTGCCACCACTGAGAACAGTCTAGCTCCATCCTGTTTCGAACCCCTCTTCAGGTAGTTGGAGGCTGCTCTTAAGTTCTCCCTCAGTCTCTTCTTCTCTAGACTAAGTCCAGTTCCCCCAGTCATTCCTTATAAGTCATGTCCCTCATCCCTTTCACCATTTTTGTCACCCTCCACTGGACTGTATCCAATTTGTCCACATCCTTTCTGTAGTGGTAGTGGGGGACCCAAAACTGAACACAGTACTCCAGATCTGGCCTCATCAGTGCTGAATAGAGATGAATAATCACTTCCCTCAATCTTCTGGCAACACTCCTACTAATGCAGCCCAGTATGTCGTTAGCCGTCTTGGCAACAAGGGCACACTGCTGGCTCATATTCAGCTTATTGTCCACTGTAACCCCCAGGTCCCTTTCTGCAAAGCTGCTTCCCAGCCACTCAGCTCCCAGCCTGTACCCGTTCATGGGATTGTTCTGTCTTAAGTGCAGGACTTTGCACTTGTTGAACCTCATGAGATTCCTTTTGTCCCAATCCTCCAATTTATCTAGGTCACTCTGTATCCTAGCCCTACCCTCTAGCATATCTACTACTCCCCACAGCATGGGGTCATCTGCAGACTTGCTGAGGGTGCTCTCTATACCATGTTTCAGGTCGTTGATAAAGACATTGAGCAAAACCAGCCCCAGGACTGACCCTTGGGGCACTCCACTTGATAACAGCTGCCAACTAAACATTGAGCCATTGATTACTATTCCTTGAGCCCAATGCTCCAACCAGTTTTCTGTCTATCTTATAGTCCATTCATGCAACCTGTACTTCCTTAGCTTGCCTGGGAGAATGTTGTGGGAGTCCGTATCAAAAGCCTTTCTAAAATCAAGGTATACCACATTCACCAGACTTCCTGCATCCACATAGCCAGTCATCTCATCATAGAAGGCAATCAGGTTGGTCAGGCATGATTTGCCCCTTGTGAATCCATGCTGACTGTTCCCCATCACCTTCTTCTCCTCCAAATGCTTAGAAATGTAACCCTTGTGTTCTTTTCTTTCGTGTCTAGGTAATCTGGGTTCCCAGCTGGTTGAGTATAAAGAAGAAATGTACATAACATCTGATTGCGGGAATACCTGGCGCCAGGTAAGTCAGCAGAAATGATAAGAGCTATATCATAATAATTTTACGTGGCATATTATCATCATTTTTATTGTTATACCCATCCCATTTAATGTATTTACTTATTCATTCTGTGCACAGTCTGTTTTTGAGATAAGTAGCTGTTATTATCTGTGAAACAGAGGAAGAGTAAGGGGAAGATTTTCAAAGGCACTAATGAGAGTTATACTACCTACTCATTACTGTTTAAAATAGGTTGCCTATTTTGTAAATGTGAATATCTCCTCATAAGTAATTTGCACATGGAGTGTGAGAAGACCCCAGTGACCTGTCTCTAACCTTAACTCTGCTCTCAAATGAGCATGAGGGGAGACATAAAGAAAAACCCCTAGAAGATGCATTTTTAATATAGTTTAATCTAATCTGTTACCACAACAATCTTTAATTATAATCTTACAGTAATTGCATAGTGTCATTAGAATTCTGAATTTTCTGTGATTACAGTGCTTTGTTTTAGGTTAATTGCCAGATGCCAGTAATGTATTTAATCCTTAACCGCTTTCAATCTTAGCTCTATTTAAATATAGTTTAGTTTAGGTTGGGGTTAGTGCTTTTGTTTTATTTTGTTTATGTCTGGCAGTGTTAAATAAATAATACAATAATATAGTAATATAATAAAGATGATGTTAAAGAGGATAGGGAAGTATTAAAACACTCAAACACTGTCAGAGAGAGGAACTGGTACCAAGAGAAATGTGTCATAAAATGTTTCTATTTCAATTAAAAAAAATAATTGAAACACTATTATATAATATTGAGTGGAAATATCATGCAATTTTGCTAGTATATGAGAACCAGCAAGGGTAACACTAGTCACTATAGTTTTGCTCTGAACTTAATAATACCATAATAGCAAGAGATGATATAACAACACATAGAACAACTATTTTAAAATAAATGCATTTTTGTCTCACTAACATTACTTTACTTTCAAAAATTAAGATTTTATGCCAGATAATTTCTAAGTGGACATTTAAATATAAAAACCTTCTAGGATTTATAGTAGGGTTTTATCTCTATGTGAAAAGGAGTGCTGCAGTCCTTATAATGGCATTTAGTTGACCTCTTTAAGTATTTTCGTGCTGCCATTTACCAAGACTTTAGTTTTTCTTATGTGAGGAAAGGAAGAGACAAAAGGGGCTGGCATTCATGTTCCCCTGTTTCCAATTGCAAGGCACTTAACTTACTGAGATAAAACTGGGTTTATTTGGGTGATTTTTCACTAGATATAATGTTACATACAACCACTGATCCCCATTACAACAGTCGAAATGAAAAATTCCACTGATTTCTCTATTTTAATTAAACCTGTCACGAAAGCTTTGAAAGATCTTATTAAATCTTCATATTGGTGGCCACAAAGACTACACAGATTATTGTGTATGTTTTATGACCCCATTATTTGTGATGTGTCTGATCTTTGTGAAGGCAGCTCTACATTTTCTTTCTCTAGTTAAATTTGTGAAGCTAAAGACAGAGCATCAGCAATTAGATGACACTGCAATTATTTAGACAATTAATTATGGGTCTCTGGGGCTTGCATAAGCAGAGCTTATGTTTTTGCCGCAGTTCATTGGATGGATTCAAGCCACTGACTTGGAAAGTTGGCAGTTGCAATGGCTGTGTACTTGTTACTGCCCTACACCTTTGTCACATCCCACACTGCACAGCCCTGCATTGCCACAGAGCCATCTGCAGACTCTTTTAGAGGAAAACAAGATACAATTGTACATCTTGAGCAGAAGAAATTATTAGAGCAATATAGAACAGTTAATACATAAGAGAAAGGACTAAAGCCAGTAGAAACAACATGAGTAATGCAGATATAAAACACCATCCTGGAGGAAAAGATCAGTTCTTGAAATATTGGTGCCTGGAATCGTATATCTGTCTATCTATAATAGATAGATAGATTGATCAAAAAAGGAACTCAAAGACCACCTAGCTGACTTTCTTGCACTGAGACAGAGGTGAGATTGCCCAGACCATCCCTGATAGATGTTTGTTTAATCTGTTCTTAACAATCCCCAATGAAAGCTGATCCACATCCTCATAGGTAGCCCATTCCTGTGCTTCACTACCCTTATGCTATGAACAGATGTCACCTTTGTCATGGGGGAAAATGAGAAAATGTCACAAATGCTGCTCTTGTGGGACAATCTCCAATATGATATGTGCAGTAAGGGGTATTAACAGTTTGTCCCACGCTATTCCAAAGGATGTCTGAAAAGTTGTCCCATTATATCATTGTGGGAGAAGCAAGGCAGTTGGTTCTCCAGCATCCCACAATGCACCACTTCATTCCCAGTCCTGGCACTTCTTGAACTCTGTGTGGCGGCTCTGGCCCTGATCACAGAACTCTGCTGAACAGAGATGGCAAGTCCCTAATAGCTACTGTCACCTAAGATCAGCATTGGAGACTGCATCCACTAAAGCAACCTCAAACACCACCAATCCCCAGGACCTCCATCTACTTAACCAGCCAGTTGTTGGAGAGGTCATTGGACACATCTACTACTTGCTTACTAAGGAAGGTTCACACCATCATATCTCTACACATCCATCCATCCTCCCTCTGCCATGGCCTTTCAATTTCAGTGCAGTGTCTTAAACAAGCATTGAAATAAGTGGACCAGGTAGGACGCAGTGGAACTCATCACTGTCTGGAGTGAGATTGAGAACTGGTAGGTTCTTCAGCCAAGCTATTGGAACAAGCAGTCTTTGCATTGATTGTGAAGGGAATGGCAGAGAACTGGGTCCAGTGCTGGTCTAAGTGCAAGGTACCGAAGCAGTAATTTATAAGGACATGGGACAGCAGCCATATGTTGGGTGCATGTGGAGTCACATGCACCTACTACAAGGAAGACTCCTACATCTTTATTCAACAGCATGTTGGGGGCAAAAATATGGTGGATGGAGTGGCTCATGCTGCCCAGGAAATGATAAAAACTCCAACACAACTGTGGTCAAAGACATACAACCATTGCAGGCCAGCACAGCAGTACTGAAAATGAGTCAGATTGGGGATTTGCTGGTCCTCCTGCTGAGATGTATGGACTTGCTGGCCATGTGCCTAAGCCATGCAAACTCTGCAATAGACCCAGGGTGGGACAGTGAGGGCCTGGAGTTTCCTGCCCGACCCCCTATGCTCAGCATCCTAACCAGCCTTCTCCCAACAGGGACTCCATACCCCAGGAGACCCAGTATGTGACAGTTCAACTCCTACTTCTAGGGGTGGTAAGTGGCAACCTCTCCTTACCCATTATGGTTGGGTAAGGAGAGGTTGGGCAATGGGAGGGGCTGGCAGGTAAGGAGACAGAGTGCTCTGGAATCTCAATGGCTCTCTGGGTAGTTAAACAAACACCTTTTTCCCCAGCCAGAAGTGCAGTTTGTGTCTGTGCTCAGACCACATGCCTGTGGACTTCCCTGTCATGCCACCCCCCATGTATGATAATAGGCACTTTAGGCAAAGTGGAAAATTCATGGAACTCATCTTTGTGTTTCGGAGGGGTATCTATAACAGTCATCAAACCATCACTGTGTTGCAGATCCCAAACCACAAACCTGTGGCTGTGACATTCACTGTATGTATGGGGCAGGAGTATTCAAGGGCATGATAAGCACCAAAAAAACCCAGCTGCTCAATGCATCATCTGTCTGTCTAAGCACCAGCTGTTTCCCCCTCCCTCCTACCCTCCAGCCAGGATTTGGCTTCTGCAGCCCAGTGTTGATCAAAAAGCAGGACAGGGAGGAAATGTGCACAGCCAGCTAAAGCTGTTCCTCCTTCCCTGTCTATCTCCTTCTCACCATCCAGGTCTAGAGGAGCCCACAACCTTGCACAACTCAGTCTTTCACTACCTTTCTTCCTTCCCTTCCTTCCATGTTCCTGGGAGCACAGGTCATTTCCCTTTCCTGATTATTTCTCCATCCTAACATGCCCATCCTGCACACTCTCCCTCCTTCCCCCAGCGACAACTATATGAGAGCATGAGTTCAGTTGACAGTGTTTAATTGGATACATGACATCATTCTGTGATTCACTGTTCTGACCCTCAGCCTGGAGGCTGGAAAAGTGGGCAGCCAGCACTTCTCATGCACATACAGTGCCAGAAACCTGGTCTCCATTTGGCAGTTCTCAGGTACAGCCTCTGTAGGAGGCAGGGGCTACTCCACCCTGACTGTTGGGAGCTCTGAGCAAATAATTTGTTCTCCACGTGGCTTTCCAGATGTTGTGCAGCTTGCTTCCAGAGATCACAAAACAGGGCACAGTGTGCTTGTTGGCTTCTGTGTATGTCCTCAGGCACCTCCAGCAAGCCTTGAGGTGCCTGTATGCACACTCCACAGCCATCCTGCAGCTGCTGAGCTGACAGTTAACAGTTCCTTCAAGCATCCAGTGAACAGCTTATCAGCCAGGGGTGCAGTGGGTAGGCAGGGTCCCTGATTAGTAGTCACATAGTCTATACATTAGTAGTTACTTTGTCAACCTAGGGACCTCTCTTCACTCCATCAAATCATGGAAGAGGGATCGCCTAAATATCCTGGCATTGATTACCCTACATGATCTGCCAGTATTTACATGTGTGAAGTGCCTACAGTGGTCCACAGCTTCCCGAGGCACAGCCAAGTACCCCTTCTGTTTGCTGAATTCATAGCCATGGTGCACAAGGGAAAGGATAGGAATGTGTGTGCCATTGACAGCACCAGCACAACTGGGTAACCCCAAGTGGCTAAGCCCATCCACAATCTCCTGTGCGTCAGCAAGGTACATAATATGCAGGGTCATCACCTGTTGGATTGCCAGACACACCTCCCATGTTGCTTCTCCAGCCATCAACTTGCCAGTGCCAAAATGATTTGCTATGGACTGAAGGCTAGCTGGAGTCACAAGTTTCTGTATAGTGACGGCAACATACTTCTCCATGGATAAAGATGCCAGCATCACTGTTGTCTAGCACTATATGTGT